TGCTGGCTTTTTAGCTGGCATGGGCTTGCTTGGTTGCTACGGCTTGTTGATACGGGTTGAATGCACTCAGGTCTGGTTAGGTGACTCTCGGAGCCCAGCAGATCACCCGCATGCACTTGTGCTCAGGGAAAATGAATGCAGGTGTTTATATTTGTGTTTCTGTAGACTGCAAGGTCATAAACAGAATTTATTCTACTTCTGTCCATCTCTCCAAATTTTCTAATGAATAATTAGTAGATGTAGATTTCTAAAAAGACCATTTAATATAAGTTATATCAAATCTCATTTATTTTAGGAGATATCATTAAGTACAAAGTCTGCACAAGTGAACTGAGTTCACTGTAGAGGAAATGACTGGGAATTGCGTTCAAAAATCTATTCAAATGTTTAATGTAACAGATTCCCTGGAGAAGAGAAAAGTGATGGGCCTCTTCAGCCTTTCCTTATGTCCTCCTCCGCAAGGCTAACAGTAATTGAGTAGCAACATAAGGAGGAGCCAAAAAGTCTTTCACCATTATGCTGAGAAAGATTTTCAAGGAAGCCTAAAGAACAGATGGACCACATGCCAAAAACCTGGTGCCTGCAAGAGGAGGAGGGAGCTCACCCGCTGTGATATAGGTGTCGCCTGCAACAAAACCCACCTGGATTAAAGACCTCGGCTCTAGCACTGATTTCATGCATGTTATTGGACAAATTGGTGACGCCAAAGTTACAGTCGTTTTCATCCAAAATAAGCCAGGCTGCTATGGGGGAAAGGCTTGAAATCTCCTCCAAACCCTGACCTCTTGTTCCCCTCATGTTGACGCAAGGCTTCTGCATTTTCAGAGGATGCCCAATGGGGAGCTGCACAGACTAAAAATTAATCCTTTTAATTATCAGCAACATCAGTTCCCAGAGACAACACAAACCTTGTATCAGCAAGAGGTAGGGGATGGAAGGAGAGAATGCTCCTCCTGGTAACAGGCAAAACTTTAGCCGAACTAGATTGACTTCTTAACTCCCTGAAGATAAAAATAAGGTTGGTACTTCTTGTGTCAGAGAAAGGAGTCGCTACACCAAATGTTTTAAAGATTCTGAAGAGCTCAAATGCCATAGGAGGTATTTAGCATGAACAGACCAGGTGCCTTGAAAACTCTAAATCACTTTTTTTTCATTAGCTAAGGCAATGAAAACTGGTTGTATTAAACATGAAGTTTGATTAACATTCTCTATATTTTATATACATTATTTAATTAAAATTTCTATTGATGATTTTTTCACAATTCTGAGTTTAATGAGATTATGAAATCTACTTTTAAAAGTCACCTTATTATTAAAATCAAACAAACAAACAAACAAAACACTACAATTACTTAAATGAGACAGCATTCAAGAGGCATGTGCTTGTTGCCAAAGTTTTGGAGAAAGTCAGAAGCTGCTTAGACCTCTGGTGGAGGTCTATTGATGTGCAAACGCAGCTTGGAGAGCAACAGCCTCTCCAGCAGGTGCAGGGAAAATATTTCCCTTATTCAATTTATCTGACTAGTTCAGTCCAACAACGAGTTCGTTCAGAACAGAGGAACTATCTGGCAGACGATCACTGATTTGCTTCTTGCCAGCCCACGCTACAGAAAGGCGCAGGAGCCCTACGGAGGATGCAGGCACCCGGGCGAGCGTGTCCACGGGAGGCCACGTACCTTGGCGGATCCATCCTGCTCGCGAGGCAGCGCTGCGGTGCGTGGCCGCGGGCTGCCGGCCGGCACGGGGACACGGCGCAGCCCTCGCTCGGGTCGGCGCGGGAGGCAGGCTGAGCCCTGGGCTCCCCGACCCAGAGGCCACGCGGGGATGCTCCAGCGAGCGCTCCCAAAGCCAGCCAGCTGAAGAGGACCAACCCATGCTGGCACGTTTCCCTAAAGCCAGCCGGCACCGGGGGGTGGAGGCTGCTTACTGGCTTCCCCAAGCCTGGAGCACAGTTAATAACATGCCAGCTGTATCTGCAGACAAGCCAAGTTTAATGAGGCTACAACAAAAGCATTCAAATATGCACTACAGAACTTCTGCAGGGATTTTTTCTAGAGCTTGTTTAGGAAAAAAAAAAGAAAAAGAAATTCTTGACAGTGTTTGTATGCACACTCCCTTTATTTTTCATTCATTTTTTAAAAATTATATTCTCTAAATTCAAATAAATCAGCATTAGACAGACTTGTTTTTATCCCACTACTTCCAACAGCAAAATTATGTTCTGTGATGAGTGTCTGAAATGCACTGCTGGTTGCTTTTTCCTAACAAACATTTAAGCCTTAACCAGTTTCCCTCTGAAAGGCCGGCCACCACCTTTCTGCCTGCCCGGCCCCCACCCCAGCAGCGGTGCAATGTGTCCCCTCGTGCTCGGACACGGAGCCCAACAGGCAAACGTGACCACGTCCCGAGCACCGGCGGTGAAGGAGGTGCCTTACACATTCACTGCCCTGCCAGCGATGCTGCTCCACGTGCCTCAGGCTCTAGCTCTGGGTCAAGGAACAGGAGGTACCAGTAAGGGGACTGCAAACATGGACCTGGAGCCTCCTCGCAGGCTCCTCAGACCTTCCCAAGCCCCATGCTCGACATTCGGGCTGGTGACTCCCCGGTGATGGAGCTCCGTCACACACAGAGTTACAAACACCAGCCCCTGAGGGATCGAGGGAACTACCGAGGCTCCAGGCTGCTCTCCTGAGAGGCTGCGGCATCCCTCCCTCCCAGGGACTGGGACAGTCATTCAACTTGTTTAAAAAACAAGGAGGAGAACCCTCTCCCACGTTTCTCTACAGCCACCAAGCGCAGGGGGCTGCTGGCGGCAGCAGGACCCTCCTCTGTGGGCACGGCCACCCCTGCAAGCTCAGCAGGGTCCAGCCCTGAAAGGCACCTTCCTGCTGCCACCTCTCCCTCCTCTTCAGAGCTGTTTCTTATTTCCTTGTATTCCTACAATGCCGAGAAACAGACCTGCCCCACACAGGGCCAGTGACTGCCCGAGCTGCAACAAGGCAGCGGGTGCAGCGCTGCAGCGGGACAGGCCTGGCAGCCCCGCAATGCCAGGGGTACCCACACTCGCTTTGCAGGCTCATTTTTGAGCTAGATAGAAGTAGATGATAAAGAAAAAAGCAAAACTCAATTAAAGTAGCAAGGATGAAACAGTCCCTTGCTGATACGACCATGCTAACGTGTCATCCTCAGCTCCTCACTGGGCCATATGTTTAAAAATGACAGGGAAAATGTTCTTCCTATGCGAAAAACATATGCTGCTGGAGGAAAGACATCATCTTAGCTGAGAAATATTTGTACAGCCTCAAAGCACGCGGCCGTGCCCTGCGCGATGACTGCGGGCTACGTGCAGGCTGCAGAGGGGTGGCTGCAGCCCGTGCCTCCCTCCCCACGGGGCTCTGGTTTCACTCGGCCCCGGCTCCCGCAGCCGCGCTGGCACCGCTCCTATCTGCGTGCGCACAGCCTGGTGCTGCCGCCCGTGCCACCGTCCCCAGGGGCCCGGGCACAAAGGTGGCCGTGGCGATTGCGGGGGGCGGCGCCGGCGCCCTGGCAGGCTCTTATCTGCCGGCACACCAACCGGGCCTCGCGGCGGGGCCTGCCGCCCGCTGCCACCGCGCTCGGCACAGGAGAGGCTCCGCGAGGCCGCAGAGCAAATCCCGGGCTCGGTGTTTATGGCCAGCGAGCTTTGTTTCAAATTCACGCCGCCCCCCACCAGCCCCTGCAAGCCCTCAGAGGCACGGCGTGCTTGTAAAACCCAGAACCAGACGCAGCGCAAGCACCGAGCGCCAGCCTGCAGTGGCAGAGGCAGAGCAGGGCCTCGCCACCCTCACCCAGCAGGGCCGGCCGGGGAATCGGCCACCTCCCGCAGCCTCCACGAGCACACGCACTGTACTCAGTGCCCATGAAACCACTGCTGCAGGCGGCCCTGCGACGAAGCCACCTCATCCTCCAAGGTCACCGCGTGCCCCGCACCGCGCTCTTCGGCTCCAGGTTGAGCTACGGGAACGCCTCACCTGCTGCACGACAAACACACAGCGCCCTGCACCCGCACAGACAGCCTGGCTCTCAGCCCCGACACAGCGGGACAAACGCCGACCAGCGGGACAAATGTGAGCCCCGCGAGGTGAGGCCTGGCATGAAACAAGAAAAGGAGCCTGCGGTCACTGCCCCTCGGGGCACCGACAGCAAGAAGCCTGCCGCAGTGCCCGCTGCCAGAGCCAGGCAGCGAGAACTGAGGGCGCCAGGGAACATCCGTGCTTTTACAGTCTGTGACACTGCGGAGCGTTCCTGGTGCCAATTCTGAAAACACTGCCGTGACCTCTGGAAAGAAGGAAACTTGCATTTCAGCATGACAATGTAGAAAAGAACAAAAAAGGAAATGTTATTTTTTTATTATTGTTTTAGATCGAAACACTAGTCATGTTAAGAGAGAGGAGCACAATTCTGGCAAGGACAGGAGCACTCAGACCAAGCCACAACACAGTGATTAGGGCCAGTAGGTCATTAGAGCCACAGCTGTATAAACTAGGTGTATAATTAAGTTTCCACACTGCATTTTCACAACTGTATTTCAGTATCTTTTGTGGAGGATGATCAGTCAATTCATTACTTTAAAAAAGCAACAACATCAGAAGCAAAGCAACTGAAAACCTCCAACTTGCCAATCAGGTGCAACGAGATTATAATTTGAGGAAGGGTTAATTTGGGAAATACGTGCAAGAAGTCCATCTTTGTCAGTGCAAAGTACAAAGTACTACCTGACAAAAACATCCCTGAGACGCGGCCACTTGTTGGCAAGCTGCCGTGTACGGTTTCTGGGTGAGCACCCTGCATATACAGTTGCATGGCAATTATAATTCAGCAGGTGAAATACAAGAAAATGCAAAATTATACACTAGCACGAAACAGTTACAATACCTCGTTTCTAACGCAAGCCTAGTGTACAAGTTACAGGGCATTTAACAGGAGCAACTGCAAGACTTTAATTATAAACTAGTTCCTACCGTACAGTAGTTTAGAAAAATCAGCCGCTTCCCAGCTGGCAATATCCATATATAGCTCTGCTGCTGTTTGAAACAGACAACCTGTAAAGTTATCAACAACAGAAGAGGACCTCATGAAATGCTCAGAGACCCCAGCGTAACCTACTTCTGTCCAGTTCACTGATGCGCTAACTCGCTTTACAACACCCTACATTTGCTTGGGAAACCGAAGGAGCAAGTTTATGGGAGGCTACAGTGGCCCAGCAGGGGGAAAGGGCAGGCATGGATGGAGGAATCAAAACCAACATGATAAGAACGGGAGCTAAAACCAGACTGGCACGTGTGGACTAACATGCACACACAAATGGCAATGTCTCAGGGCTTTTTAGCCACTTGTCATCAGGCAATACCCGACCCGGCACCAGGCACCAGGCAGTGAGGTACTGCAGAACAGCTGCCTGATGCATGCAGCCCCCGTGCTGGCCAGAGGACACCTGCACTTGTAAATGCACACGTGAGCCCCTCCTCTCGCCAGTACTGCTGGGGCACTGTGTCGTAACGCCTGCGCTAACGGCAGCGTGCAAAAAAACTACAAAAAGGACTGCACGAGATGGCCACGCCTGAGTCTTCTCAAGTTAAGGGGATGCAGGACGTGAGTGACTTTTTAAATTCACTGTAAAAGCTCAACACACGCAGTGCATGCACCAGGCGTCTGTGTGTTCTCAGGGCATTTTTCAAGGTGCTCTCTGGCTGTTTAAGGAGCACTCGCGTGGGGCCGAGCTGGGAAGCCGTGAGCTGGGGAGGAAACGCGCTGCTCATTCAGCACACGCTGCCCCGTGGGGGCCCTTTTCACATCCCCGCTGGCACTGGAAGCCCCCAGCCTGCCCTCACAGACATCCACCACGAGCAAAAGGCACGAGAGGCACCTAATTCTGTCAGGAGAGCACCTCCACGGGGCCGGCATCCGAAGGGATGCCGTGCGCTTACGCTACGAGAGATGTCTAGATTTCAGCAGTGTTTTGTCCTCAAAGAAACAAGTCTGAAATACATGAAAAAGCGAGGGGGGAAACGGCTGTTTGTTACTTCCTTACATGTCAAAGAAGCTGCGTTCAAACTGTATTATAACTTCAGCCCGCTGTAATGAATTTCTAAGGGATTCCAGTGAAATAGATGGTTTATCCTATTCTTTGGAGTGAGCTCTTATAATCCTGCTACACTCCAGAGCTACAATACCTTCCTAACTTCAGCCTCCCAAAGGAAGTCATTAGTTACGTTGTGTTATCAGCCTGGTGATATTATCACTACAAATATTACCTGCATTGATCTGGAGCCATGTAGACACGATTGAACACCCTGCTTCAGATTAAGACATGAAACTCTAGCTTGCCCAGAGGTCAGGCACTGTGCTACAGCCTCAGAGGTGTTGGGCAGGCGTTAGAGACTAAAGGAGAGCAGGGAGACTCAGGACACAGCCCATTTGGTGGGGTAACATCGTTAAACACCCCGCATTTCCTAGCGCTCTCTTAGGTTCTCACCCTGGTGGGGGCAAGTCTTTCCAGGTGAGCTGAGCAAACACGGGTAATTTGCATTCTTAGACCAAAAATTCTCATGGTTATTGAACAATTGGTGGGGCTGAACTTGAAAACTTTTTTTCCTCGTGGCAAGACGTGTAAATATCCAACAATATTCCAGACTGCCTGCATGGAAACATTCTCGTTCCCGAACAGATGAGTGCAACCCTCCCCTCGGCATTAAATCACTTCAGGACACTAGACTAAAACAAATGGGAAACAGGCACTCTTATTCTGGAACAAGGATTTCCTCACATGGAGATAATCAGCACCTATTCCGTGTATATGCAGATGATTATATGGTGCCTTTTTATGACAAAATGTCTTTGTAAATCATCAGCACATGTCAAGACAGTAAAAGATGATGAAGTTATGCTACCTGCAATCAAAAATTAGCAAGGGGAATACTCACAAATTATTTTGATAGGTCCCAAAAATAGAATTTATTTTTCTTACTGTCACTAACAGACACTAACTACGCTGAGGGTAAATAAAAACTGAGGTGTGAAAATATCAACTGTACAGACGCGGACCTCTAGGTTACTGTGTTTTAATGGACCTTTGCCTCATGAAAAAAATGGGCTTCTCTTTCACTGAGCAGCAGCAGTGCCCTACCCTCCCGCCTGGCACTGCAGGGACCTGTCCCCATCCCCTGGGCTGCACACCTCACCTTGCAGCCTGGCAAACAAGGATTTTTCTATTCAACAGCATTTTCCTGCTTACTACCCTACATCAAAATATGAATTTTGTTTGCAGAAATCGCAGGGCAATCCAGTGGTTGTCAGCTGGCCAAAAAACGACCCTGCGAGCAGTAAGTTTTCTGGTTTTGTACTTTCAAGTGGGCATCCCAGGCAGTGCTTAACTGAGAGCGCAGAGCAAGCAGCCCTGGCGATGCCGCATCCAGCTGGGGCAGAAGATGATGCTCGGGGTGGGCGGCAGAGCCAGCCACAGCCCTGTCTGCACACTCGCCCTGGGCAATTCCTCTGGCCTTTCTCAGCTGGGCACAGCTTTAATGATGCCCAGAAAGGAGAACATAATGTGGACTCATTACCAAACAAATTAAGTGGCCAGGGAGGAACACGCACTTGTGGGAACGAGGATGGGATAATGTTGCACCAGAGGAGAAGATAACCCCCCTGCCAGCCGAAATGGGAACTGGCTAAAAATGTCTTCGATGGGTGCGGAGGAAAAAGTGCTGGCAGCTTATTCGACTCTAGGAAGGGTGAGAACTCCTGATTTAAATATATATGAACATTTTCTGCACTCGCCCTCCTAAGATTTTATTTAATCTTCGGCAAAAATCAAAGGCTTTTTGCTGCCCCCATAAATCAGATAACACGCTGTGCAGGGTGCCTGCTGCTACCACCGGCCATGCACGAGGAGCTGTGCAATGGCAAGATGCGCTGCGATTGCTCACACCAACGCTCTGTGCTCGTTCTCACTTCACAACAAGGAAATTCAAAATCAGGGTAGACTCATGCCATCCTCACCTCCATAAAATTCAAAAGGAAATGCAACAGTAACCTAGGGAGAATGGTGTATTTTTAGGGTGGGATTACAAAGCTCACACTACGAATTTTTATCTCAGAAATTGTCATGTTCTTTGGTAGGGGTTCAGAGGCCTATCTTCAGGGGAGTTTTGCACGCTTCAGTCATTTAACTTTTTTAATCTTCCTGCGTTCAGGAAGAGAGGGAAAAATACCCTGTCTGAAACTTTTAACGTTAAAAAAACCCAAAACATTTTTGTCTAACGTAATTACTGACAGATTCCAATTGGAAAGCTGTTGCTTTTATTTTAATTTTATTAAAGGAGTGAACAAAGGCTACCCAAGGCACCACAATAAAATTACATTAACTGTAAAATTACATTATTAATTCTTTAATCTCACTTGAGGCCTCAAGCTGTTGCTATGTCCAATTACCCAGCTAACCACCTGTCAGAACTGCAAAGCGAGTTTAACATTACCTCCAGGACAGTGGTGTGCCCTGTGTTCAGTCAGGTCTGCCAGCGAATCGAAGTCCTGCTGACAGTTATCGCAGGTGTAAATTGACTCATCCTCCATGTCTTCATCTTCCTCATTTCTCTCTTCCTGGCTCGTCACGCTGTTCCTCTCTTCCAGGGCCCGGCTGTCCTTCGCCTCGCTCTCCAGCTCTCCTCCCAGGCCACCTGCCAACAGCAAGGATGCACGCGAAGGTTTAGAGGTCTGCCTGACGAACGACGCCGCGCTTATTGAGATACATTTAATTATAGCCGGTCTCGCGTTATTCCTGACACCTTTCATTATATTAATGTGGTTTTTATATCATGCGGTGCAACAATTCTCAACTGTATTCTCTGCTGCTTGGTGTGAATCCTGCGAACGCTCCCTCCATCTCCTTCAGCGGGCAGAAAGCTCTGACTCTCTGTCATAAGGAGTCGTTAGTGTTTCATCACTTAACCAGGCTCTCAAAGCTTTAAAAATTGGCAAGATTAATTGCAGCCTGTACAGAACAGGCACGTACTGAATTTTAATCCTCCGTGCTCTCCTCTCCCCGCCGCCATCGAGCCCCAGCGCGAGTGCCCACAGCAGCAAAAGGCTCCCACTGAAGACCCCTGAGGTGCCTCAGGATGCGAGGGGTGCCGCCGAGCCCCGCGGGCACCTCGCTGTGTGGCACACCCCCACTGTGGCCAAACAATCCTTGGGTTTCCAGGTGCCGGGTGTAGAAGGAGGCCAAGCCCTGAGGCAGCTCAGTTTCTGTTTCCCCTCCACCTCCTACAGCCCTCAGCACCCGCTGGATGTGCCGCATGCCCTGGCCATGCCAGGTGACCAGTTGGGACGCCTGCCCTACCACCAGCCGTGCTGGGCTTGTGCCCTTCTGCCCGCCTCTATGAGCGATCCCAACGCCTGAGTGTGCCATGTTATTAAACACAGACTTATTACAAGTCCTCCAGAAGAGCAGGAGGGGTGAGCAGGCCCCCACCACAGCAGCCCCCCGCACTGAGCCCAGCCCCAGAGCGGCGCAGGGCCCCGGGGAGCAGTGCCCGTGGTGCAGGGGGTGCCGCCTGGCTGCCTGCCGGCACAGGGGTGTCGCACCAGTAACGGGGAGATGGATGGCTTCTAAAATGAGATCGGCGCCAAAAAGATTAAGGGCAACCAGTGCTGAGAACATGAAACAAAGCTGAGAAATAAAATTTATTAAAGCTGGACACTGGTTACCGCAAGCGCTGCAGCTCAGATACGCGGCGCTAGCAGGGCTGTGCGGCCAGGCTCCATCCCGAGCACACGCCTTGTGCCATCAGCCCGCACTGCGCATGGGAACGTAAATCAGCTGGTGAGAAACGCTCTGCGGCTTGCCATGGAGCACTCGTAACATGACGTACCCATTGAATTGCAATGGAAATATTAAAAATCAGTGCCTGCTCGTGGTCTGCCACGGCATCGCTGTTAGCAATTAACCGACAGGCACATTTTCAGGTTCTTCTCCTGTTGAGCTATACGGACCTTTCTGCTACAACATTGCCATTAAGAGCGAGGTGTAATGATCGTATCAACAAAGCATGATATGGCACTCTTAGAGCAGTAATGAATTTAAGGATTTGGTTATAAAAGTATCGCTCACCACGCTCTCCGTGTCCTAAGTCACGATCTGTACGGGGTTTGTTCAATAAAGCACTGTTCTCTGAACCTCCTGCTTTAGAGCCTCTCCCTTTAATAAAAGCGTATGCTACTCGAGGACAGTTCTGTTCTCCTTACACCACTACCCTGCCAAATAATGGCACAGTTAAAGCTTCGCTAGCTTCGCTTTACTTAACACCTAATTCAATGTACACGCTGCACTGATCACTTCCATTTTGCTGTATTTACTTGGCACACCGTTTCACAAGCTCATCCCAGACTCGAATCACAAACATTATAGCTCAGTCAATTTTGTTAAAGCCTGTATGTCCTGCAGATTTGATAAACGTTCATAAATCAGAACGTCAGCTCTCCAGCTCTATAAGACAGAAACCTATAAAATAGCGCAAGTCTATAAATCTGCTCTGAGCACTGCCACCTGAATCCATGCCGCCTGCTGATGGAAGCCTCCGAAAAGCACTTCTGAACCGATTTAGCTACAGCCTGAGGAAGAAAGATTTTAGGCAACCTCGAGGAGGTTTAAGGGACCTTCACTAATATTTTCAGTAGAAATGCTGTCTTTTGACAGTTAACCTAAAGGCCAGCCGATCTGCTGAGCACACTGTGACAAATTCATCCTTGGTTTTTCTCCAAAACTTCATGACTACACTAGGGATAAAGCTGTTCAACCGAGTCCAACAATAACAAATAATTTAACACACTGCTTTAGGAAAAATAAATTGTACAATGTGAGATAAGAAAATAAGATTCCCGACTGCAGAGCAAAATTCCAGAAACATTTTTTAATTCCCCACTGAATGGGAAATCTGATCCTCCAGGCAACTTTTCAAAAGTGTCATTACGTGACACCGTTGTATGTCAAGTAACACAACAGTGAAATCTTGCACGTAAATTATTTAGCAAACAGCATTGCTTTAAAATGAGATGTTTTCTGTTTTCGGTGCATTGAAGGAATCGTGCGTGTTTGCCACACCTCGGGGTTGCTGTCCCTGGAATAACACCATCTTCAGATTCCTCTGCCGAGCTGCACACTTGGTGCTTGCCTTGGAGAAACCTCACGCTGCTGAGGAAAACCTGGGGTGTTTCTTGGCTTTTTGGCCCTTGTCCCCATCAAGGCAGCAGTGGCATGGGTGGTCTTGGGGACACGGTGGCAGCTCGCCCCCAGGAGCAAGCAGCAGCAAGTGCCAGGGCAGTGACGGGGACGGGGGATCCTCAGGCAGGGAGAGCTTCAGCCCCAGCTGCTCTGCAGTGAGCTCAGTGTCCCTGACCAGGGCAGCCACCCAGGAGCACTCCTCGGGAACGAATTCCTGAGGAGTTTTGCTGCAGTAAGGCACGAATTTAACCTGCAGCATTCCCGCAGGCAAGAACTGTGTGAGCATCCCCCTATGGAGCAGCCAGGTTCAGGGAGCAGAGCGCACTGCCCTCGTGATGGTGAGTGCCTGGCCAGAGTGGGTGCCAGGGGCCCCGGCACACCCCCAGCAGGACTTCTGTCACCGCGGGAGGCCAACGCAGCGCGACTGGCACCGTGCCTTTGGGCACGCGGTCACTGGTTAGTCCTAAGTGGCAAAAAGGACCTGCTTTCACAGAAGCATTATTAGTATCTTTAAAATGGACCTGCTGTCTCCAACAATTGCTCCAACAATTTCCCGAGGAAGAGACGAGACAGCTTGACAGCTCAGCCTCAAAAGTACACCTCACCGCTTGCGTTTGGGGTCCTCTTGCTTTTCTTCTCTTCTCTTTTCTTTTATTCCTGTAACGCAGTAAGGGGCCTGCAGGGCTTCGCAGGAGACGAATGTTTTTACCCTATGACCTAAGCAGCCTGGCCAACAGTCAAGAATATGTTACTCTAATTGCCACTAAAGTTAATGTTAACGACTCTTGGTTTTTGGTAAAAGCCAACTTCTTTTCTAAAAAGTTACAATTTCATCAAGACGCATCAAGAACTGGGAGTGTTCCTGCCTGACCTGGTGGTCCAAGGAATGTGGCAAACTTGGCAAAGGTGGAGACGAGAAGTCCCGAGGGCTCGGCTGGAAGGTTAGTGTCAGTAGAAATGCCTTCCGAGCCGTGCTGTTACAGCAACAGCATGCTTTGAAAGCCAAGGTTTTGCAAACTGACTGCGCGGCCCATGCTTACGCCAGGCCCCAAAGTCAGGGAGTGAATTCCCGTTTCTCCCCGGCCAGGCCCCGCTGGTGGGGGCCGAGCACTGCGGAGCGTGGCCACGGGGAGCAGCGGCGCTGGAGGGAGCGCGGGGCGGCCGCAGGCACACTGCAGGCAACGCGCCGGCCGCTGGGACGCGGAGACGTGCAGCGCCGTGCAACGCGTGGGCCTGGGAAATGGGAGTCAGAGCAAAGCTCTGGGCTTATTTTTTCAGCTGCGGAATCCTATATTGGATTACAATACAGGCACAATACGGGGCAAGCGAGCCTTTCCGTGCTTGTGCCGGTAATTTCTTTTTAAACCCAGAGACTTTTGAAAGCCGGGACTTTTTTAAATCTAGGATTGTTCTTTGAAGCGCGCTGTCTAGCATGGGGTCACGTCTGGGCTCCGACACCTCTGGCTGCAGGGCTTCCTTCACAAGTTGCTCCCTGCAGCAGGCACGCACAGGCTTGGTGCACGGCAGGGCTGTGGCCGTGCCCATGGTGCTCCTGCCCATGGTGCTCCCCGTCACGCGATGCCAGCCGGCACCCGGCCGTGGCACGTGCACGTCCCGAACTGCAAGGGACCAGGTGATGAGAGAAATGAGGCACCTCCTCATTCTGCCACCTTGGTCCAAAGACAAAACCACCAAAGGCCTCACAAAGGGCTGTGGTAGTTCCTAACCCTTTCCTAGAGACTGAGGACAGGAGCTGAACCAAATCGTCCTTGGGGACACAGAAGCAAACTGCTGCAGGGACGGCGGAGCAGCAGCACGGCAGCTCCGGGGGCTGGGCACAGCGGGCATGCCATCCTGCTTGGGAAGGCAAGGGGAAAGGAAACCCCTCGTGTAACTGGGAAGTGAGAACAAAAGAAACAAATGACTTAAAGGAAAAGCCTAATCTAAACGCCCGTTTGCAAGCATTTCACTTGGCTCCTAGTGCCAGATCGGCGTGGGGGGGTCCCTGCTTTCATGTGGTTTGTTGGCATTTTAGTGTTGTCTCTTGGACTGTAATGCAGCACAGTCCAAACTTCTCTGCAATTTGTGGTCAAAGAAGAATGAACAGAAGCAAAATAAAAAACATTAATGCTTCAATAACAAAAATGCAAACAAACCTCAGCTGAAGCTCATTCCCATAGGATGAAGGCTTGGCTTTGCAGGGGCACGCCAGGTCTGTGGCTCTTCAGTGTTTCCGAAACCACCAATTTTACACAGATAGCCTCTCGAACCGAGGGCTGCCTGTGTGCTACCTCTCAACAGGCCACGTGAGATGCTGCAAGCCACTGCACCACACCCGTACCAGCAGCCCAAACCCTGCTCCAGCAGCCCAGGGCCAGGTACCAGGGGCTCGCTCTGCACACCAAGCGCTCCCTGCACATGTCACAAGCGAGCAGGTTCAGTGCAGCACAGCGCCAA